TGTGACTTCAAATATAGACTAAATCACGCTTTTAAGCTTTGCAAAGAAAAGGGGGATTGAACATTTAGAAAATACTTAATAATGAGGAAAATTCCGAGAAGTACTTCAGAAGGGTTTAAAACTCACTATCTGAAGGCTTGTGCTGCTGTGGCAAACAACACAGCAGGGGCTCCAGGTTGTGGAGCTGGTTTCTGATTGGTTGGTGCTGCAAACAAAAAACAAATGTTAAACACATGATAAGCGCAGCCTCACGGCTGGATATGCTGTGACAGATGGCTCTGTTCGGATGGTTTTACCTGGATTGGAGCTTTTTCTGGGCTGTTTGGGGGCTGTGTACTGGAACGACTCGTTTCCCTGACTAGCCTCCTGGTCTAGTCCAAACAAAGAAGCCAACTTGGCTCTGCAAAATGGTACAAAATGTGGGTACATTGGCTATTAAATTGATGATTTACTGCATGGTCAGATGAAGTTTATTCCACTTCACACTCAATAGACAAAAATATCCGCCACACTGAATGGACAGTTACTTCATTAAGGGGAAAGCTGATCAAGCCTTTCATATTAATATGAGGGATTTGTAGGAGTTATCGTTGCTGCAACTGCACATTCACAGCTTCCAACGCCATTTTAGTCCACACAAAATCTTAAAAGTCAAGGAGACAATGAGCTACATTCTGTCCACACAAACTATAGGGCTGCATCAAACATTCATTTTCTTTATCAATTAATCTGTCTTTTTTGATTAACCTATGAATCATTCAGTACAACAGATTTAAGAAAAGTTTTTTTTTTTAGAAGAAAAATGTGGGGGAAAAAAGGCAATTTGGCAAAAAAAAAAAAAACCTAACTTGAAGTACAGCTACTAGCTTTATCACCTTTCAACCTCATGTCATTCTCTTTCTCAGCCAAATAAGTCTGCTCAGTTACTATGAAGCAATATGCAAATCTTAAAATGAATTTCCACAGGAGCTTTCAACAGCATTGCATGTCTCCCTCAGTGGGAGAGATTTGCTCACTAATTGTGGCTGTTGGATGCTCTGCATAAAAAATCCCAATTTACTGAGGAAGTCAGGGAAAAAAACCTGGCCTCAGACAACGTTGTTTGCCAAATAAAACAGAACTTTAATAGGATTTACTCTTTTTTTCTGAGCTTCCAGCTACATTACATGGTCTTGGATTGCACTGCATAGCTACATGACTCCCTCTATGACAGCTGAGCCATCCACTTAAATAAAAAGGAAGTGGACTTTGAGTCAAGATTTTTACAATTTTACATTGGAATGAACTTTTATATTCACACCTTCTTTCATATACATTGATATAAAACAAAGAAAAGCAGCAAATCTTGGATATTTGAAGATCCAGAACAAGCAAACATTTGACATTTCAGACTAAAAAATACTTCTTTAGCAATTCCAGTGATGAAACAATTAAGCATTACCTATATGATACAATACACAAATGCCGCAAAATCATTACAACTACCATCTCAATCGCAGGCACACATTTTATACTTTCCAAGAGATAGGATTAAACAGCACAGCCGCAACCAACAATGATTTTTTCATCTTCAGATTAGTTTTTCAATTAATCCATAAATAGTTTGTGACCTTTATAGAAGCTGAAAACAGCAAGTACTTTCCATTTTTTCATCAAAAAAGTCTGATGTATATTTTCTTTCAATCAACTGACTGATCCTGGCAGCTCTACACAGCAACCTCGTACTGACCCCTGGAACTCCTTCCACTGATAATCACTGATATCTCCCAGAACAGACATGTTGAAAACCTTGAGGCCCTCATCTCCGACGGCAAGGAACTGGGATGAGGAGTGGCACCCTGTTTGCATATGTGAGTCAAAATCCGTACATTCCAGTGCTTCTCTCCCGATCTACGCCTGAACTCCCATCGCCTAATTGCTGTCACACCACTATGGTAGATTCAGCAGCGCAGCAGAAGACTAAACCGAAGGAGTGCTGGGTCTCTGATGACAGAGACAGGCTGTGGCAGAAGCCTTCACCTTCTCTAACAAGCAGCATGTGAGAGGAATTAGCCGTCATGGCACTCCTCCCTCCAAAACTGGCTGCTTATCCCACCAGTTCATGCACACAGTGCTGCTATCAAACATGGGTCATGCAGTGCCTAAAAGCACTGCATGCTGATCAGTCTGAGAATCTGGCAAAACTGTAAGTGAATGCCTCATAGCTGAATGAGAAGGTATATTAACTGTAATAGAGTCTGTGTAATAACAGAAGGGCCACAGTTTGGTTCCTGCTGCAGCGAAAACTGAATATTTTATGACACTGTTTGAGCTGACTGTAAAACACCACATTTCGATACTAGAGGTGTGGTATAAGACAGTAACTTAACAGAAGCCAATAAATGTCCCTTGGTAGATTATAACATAAAAACCAACGTCTGCATAACAGGAAGCAGCTTGTTAAGTGGCTTCAAAGTAAATTTAGATCAAATTTCATGTAGACTTGAATGAGACAGACAGTCTGAAGAACTTAATAAAACCTACAAAGTCAACTAACAAATTCAGTGAAGAAATGTGATAACAAATCAGAGCAGGGCAGTGGTGTAGTCTTGTCTAATTGTCCACAGACTGTCCGTTCATTGATTACATTAACTGTAGGAGGAAAACGTTTTGTAGCTGCCAATCTTTTATGGGAGCAACAGTCGCAAAATTCACTTAAACTTTTCTTTTATTCACTGACTAAGATAAATAAACTACTAGAATAAATCTATGTTTGGCATTGCAGTGAGGGTAAACTCAATATTAAGTTGGGTTTCAATCACTATCAGATCACTGTTGTTCAGTTACTTACATAAAATCACAGCATTTTAACTGGTCTACAGTGCTTCACATTTCTTGGATGAATCATAGAAACAATGAAATAAAGTTATAACCTTTATTGAAATATGTGCTTCATGGCGAAAACCATGAGCGGACCCAAAAAATTGATGTAAAAATAAAGGAAGAAAGAAACAGCCTGTACTTGCCTGTATTTTTGAAAGGCGTACAAACACATACAAACAAGGTCGCAATAAATGGTCAGCTTTATATGAAACGTCGTCCATAGACGACAACAGTTAACCTGAGCTACATGCTCATAAGCTAGTTAGCTCAAATGCTAAAGCGCGTTAGTTTGGTGGAAAAAAATAAACTCACCCTCCTGTTGGAGACAAGAAGTCCCCGTCCTCGTCGTCTCCGGCGAACATGTTTTAACTCTGGAGTTTTCTCCTATTAAATAAAACAAATGCACAAATGAGTTAGCTGTGTAACATACCTAGGATGTGACTTCCCTTTCCTGTTTTTGGTGGAATCAGCTGACTGTCCACCTGACCCACTTCAGTCTCTCCCAAACACCTCTGGAGGGCGACAAAGGCTGTCACACGGTTTATATTTCAGAGCCCAAACACATGTTCGATTGTTGCAGGATTCAATCGTTAGGAGGAAAGAAACACAAAGTCATCATGAGTCTAAAGTGCTGCTCAGTCATCAAGTGTGCATCACAGTGACCTCTGACGTCACTGATGGGGGGGGCATTACTGTAGAACCACTGATGAGTAGCATGATGGAATGAATAGAACATTAATAAGAAGAGGAAGAGGAAGGTTGTGTATTTTTCAGACCATTGTGGTCAAGCCAGTACATACTTGATGTCCAAAGTTGTGGCTGCATGAATGGCTGCAAGGGGAATTGCTAATGCAAAAACTAGCCTCCTTAAAGTACACAGTAGAAGACTGAAGGAGATGAAGAACGGATTCAACACCAACAAATCAATCAAACATAAAATAATATTTCTTGAAGGTGTATGTTTTCTTTACAGGCGCTGTATTGTCAGGAGCAAAAGGCAGAAGATTTTAAAGTCTAGCCTCTTACCTTCTCTGAATTCACCACAAATGATTTAACTGAACAGTTTACAATGTGATAAGGTATCATTACAATCCTTTAACCACGTCGCTCGCTTCTGAAGATACGGTGCAAAATACATCACTTGGTTATTTTAGAGAGTAAAATACTTGCCATAGCTGTGATAAAGTTTTTTTGTGAAAATGTTCTGAAAACTGTTCAAGTTAAACGAGTTTCATGCTTTTATGAAAAAGTAAAAAAAAATTCACATATAGTATGAATTAAACAACAAACAAACTCAATTCAAAATCAATACACCAAGGACCCATCATCTCAACCTACATGGATGGAATTATAGAATTCTTTTTCTATAATAGAATTACAGAAAAATCATATTAATCATGTTTTTCAGATGTGACCATGTGACATGTGGAAAACATGTTTCCACATGTCACAACATATGGCAGCACATGTGAAAAATATGGAACCATAAAGAGCACATTTTTTTCAATGTGTTGTTAATATGTGGTCCTAGTTTTCATGTTCTTCATGCCGCAAATGTAACAACATACAGTAGACATAATTAAAAAGCCTCTATAATGTGTTCATATTTTATTGTTTTGTAAAAAAAAAAAAAAAATCCTCATTCACAAATATACTTTTCAACATGCTTTCCTTGAAAACAAGAGATTTTTGTTATTATGTTATTCATTGTTTGTCATATATTTTACTAAATAAAAATATTTAGTGCTTGTGTGTTCCCAGCAGTTTGTTATCAGCTGTTTTCCTGTCATGGTGATAAAAGTAGATCCCATTACGTTCGCATCACATTTCCTACTTTCAGTTTTAATGCAGTCTCATGACTCATGCCTGCAGATCACCATTTATTTTAGTCTTTTATTTCCTAGTCCCTAGTTGACGTTTCCTTTAACACCACCATGAGGTTCACCCAGCATTCTAAAACCAAAAATTTCCCTCAAGATTAAAAACTATTTATGGCATCACGCTTGGAGCAGGATTTGGAGATTTCAGTGCATCATAGATCCCTATAAAAACTTCATAGGATTTATCTTTAGGGTGACCCGTCACTGTAGGTAACATTAAGTGCCAGGACAGCCTGACTGAATATGAGGTAGGAATGAATACATTTCACCTCAGATTAAAAATATTTTCCTGGCTTTTGCAACTTCCTAAAGGTCCCTTTGAGCCTAACCACTACATTTTGAGGGATTTGAATGTCATTATGGCCTGTTGATGAAGACTTAGTGTATTCATTGTGTCTCTTATCCACATAGCGCAAAAATATCCAGTTTAGCTTCATAGTCGTGGAGCTGCTACTGACTGAATTTAGAAAATGTTTTTCAGGTGGAAATTTAAAAAAAGAAAAAAATTAAGTTGTTAAGGTGTTATTTTCAGTACCTTTGGTATAGTTTTTTTCAGCTTACTTCAGTTTCCTGTTTTTTATCAGTGTGTAAGGCACTTGCACAAAGAAACCGGCACATCATTTTTCATTATTCCACCAAAGGAGAACAACTATTTTCATCATCAGTAAATCTGATAATTTGTTAAGTGTATACCATGTCAAAAATCAGCAAATGTAGCAGATCACTATTCTCTGGAGCCCAAGTAAACATTACTTTCATTAAGCAACTCATCTAAATCTGTTGAATTTGCTCCTGTGTAAAACTAACAGAAATAAATATTCATATTTAAGAAAGTTTTGCCCTGTTCAAACCAAATTTGAATAATCAACTATTTCATCCACCCCCTACTTCAGAGATTGTAAAATAAATGGGGAAATGAAGAAACTTGTATAAAATAAGGCATTATTTAAAGCTGAATGTTAATTTATGAGTGATTAGAACTTTGAAAGTGCTTCATTTATACTTACATAACAATGTTATTGGCTGATGTCTTTGTCATGTTGTAGTTACATGCTAACTACCCTACAGTCATAGCGGTCCCTCCTTATTTTAGATTAGATTAGATTAGATAGAACTTTGCTGATCCCTTTGGTGGGGTACCTCTGGGAAATTGTATTTGCAGCTTCTCACCAATCCACACATACACGCAGGACGATTAAATATAAGTCATCTGCTTTACTCTCTTTCAGTATTTACACACGATCATTTTACAGCAATATTAGATTGATGGCATTTGAGCCATCTTTTACCTATCAAAAATATACAAAAATAAAATCACATCTGTTTCTTCCTATATCATAACTGTCATCAGTCCATTGCTTTTGCTGCGTGTTAGGAAGAGGTACGTGATTTCCTGTTCCGCTTCGCTCGACGTGTGCCTGGAAATCGGATGAAGTCAAAGTGTTTGCTTTGGTCCATGTTGGGAAAGGGGGGCGGGCCTGTGTGTAGCCTCTTAATGAAATGGACCTCTCTCTGGTTCTCTCTCGTCCTGGAGGCTTTAATGGGCCTCCCTTTCCTGGTGAAAGCCACATACCAGCCCTCATACTCAGCATTCTGGAAGGCTGTGTAATTGTTCTCCAGTACTATCTCTGTGAAGATACAATCCCTGCTGCGGCCGTTGGGCTGTGTGAGGAGACAAAAGAGGTTTTATGTTTTAAAGATGGATAGACACAGGGTACATGTGTTTTGATTAATTCAAATACACATCACACCGAATGATTGCTGCATTTCAAGGACTATGTCAAGCAGTTACATCACCAATATCCAATTCATTCAATATCACAGCTTTTAAAATATCAGTCTTTTTTCCCCTTAGATTTATTTAACCTTTATTTAATCAGGATGTTTCTTGAAATTAAAGTCTCTTTTCTAAGGAAGACCTTGCCAAGAGACAGACCATGATAGAGATCTGAAAGATCAGAACACTAAGGAAGACCGTCACAGACAAACATGGAAAAAACATAAAGTATATCAAATCAACCAAGGTACAAACAAAAACCAGTTTTAGTAATTACACTCTTCAGTTACATATCTTTTGATCAAAGCTTTAAACTCTGCCAGTAAGACACACATTATGAAGCTGCAGTGTAATCTTTTATTACAGTACCAGGGTGCCAAATAGCAGAAGGCTGTTCTGTCCCTGTAGAGCAGCCCTTTAGATGAGGAAGAATTATAGCAGCTGTTCATCAGTGATAGAAAATTCCAAAGGTAAGAAGGGGTTTTCCCGAGTGCTGCTTTGTCAATAAAAATATCCCAGTAATGAAGGTCAAGAAATACACAGTAATATGTACAGGACAATGAGTTGGATATAAAACATAAACAGCAGTCTAGGCAGCAAGAGTAGTGGCAGCAGTGTAGATGCAGGTACATCACATATAGATCATGAAGTTCATTTTTTTTCCCCTTATTACATTAATACAAGCAAACCTTCATGTAGTCAATATTTGTTACATCTAACAAAAGATATTTAATGATTTTTGTTTTTCAATTTAGGTAACAAACTTATAGCATGAAAAACTGAACTCTAGTATGTCAAATTATTAGAATATTTAATTTCAAGTTTGAGTAAATTACTATTCAAACAGCATGAATACAGTGTATGTCTCAGCACACGCAACCACAAGCATAAGGAAGACTGCTGAATCAAAACTCAAATCCAAAACCTCAAAACACTCAAATCTTAAACAAATTCTTTAGTAATCTTTCTTGAGTTTTGTAAGCTAGTCAAAAGAACTGTTCATATCATCAAAAGCCAGACACTTGAGAGGTCACGTTAAGTAAAGTTTACAGAGCAGTTGTGAAAAAAGCAGCTGTATTTGCTGTTATTTTTCCTAAAATTGTTTAAATATGAAAATAATGATGAAATGGACTGCCTGATTATCAACCTGTGGCTCAAGACAACAGAGTGGTTACAAGTCATGAAAAATGATCTATCAACACTGAAGGATACATTTTTGAACACTGTCTTTTAGTCAAACATGTAAAACACAAATCAAGACATTTCAGTGAAGTTTTGCATTGGAGTTTGCCTCATACTCATCTAAATCTTGAAAAGGATATAGAAGAAAAAAGAAATGTAACATTTGATTTTATAAGTTAACTTCTGTAAAGCAATGAAATGTTGCTGCGAAAGTAACCATTATGTACCACAATACATCCTTTGTTGGTTTTTGATTTCCCTTTTGAATCCCAAAACCCAAAGGCAGGTTTAAAAGGCAGGTTGATTAAAAAACAGTTATTAAAATCATATCATTTATCAGAGTCAGAAACTGTAGTTCATTTTTGACCGGCCTCCAACTAATCTATGGCATGCTGTCTGTTGGGAAACATAACCAAATCTAGGCTTAGTATTGTAATATTTAATCAAAATCACTTTGTTCTGCATTTCAAATTCAAATTCAAATTCAAATAATTGCCACCTAGCATAAACAAGAATATTTTGGGGGGGAAAAAAACCAAAAAACGTACACTCAGCAACCATGAAGCCATTTGTGACTCAGCTGAGACCAACAGGAATGGGACTGCAGGCTGCATTTACACAGAGCAGAGAGGAGACGAGTATGGGAACAAGGTCAAAATGTGAGTAGTAAATGTTAAAGTATGTAGTCACCATTGTTTTTGAAAAATGTTGATTCCAAAATGTGTGTGTGTGTGTGTGTGTGCTTTTTTGTAAAATAAATAATGATTTGTGTCTTTATAACTTGTTATTCTGCACAAAATATCTTTTGAGTTGTCCTTACTTCTGGCTGGAATTGCTTGGGGGGTTAACAGGTAAAAACCTAAAAACAGAAAAACCTCACAGAAAGAATGTGACAGCTCCATATTTACGTGCACAGAAGCGTTAAAAAGAATTGTCCTACTAAAGAAAGAAGCTTCATTGTCACTCATACATTGTCTCCTGTTGATCTGGTTATTTCTTTTTCTGAAAGTAGCCTACTTCTTATCTCTAAACAGACATCACAGCAGCCACAATTTCAACACCTCTAAACCATGATGAGAAATAGATTTATGACTTGTCATGTCAGCCAGATGTGTGAATCCATCTTTTCCATTTCCATGAAGGAAGTGGAGTGTTGACATCTGACCAAACACATCGGGCAGTCTAGGATGGGAGAATACTTTTCCCTTGTTGCTGTCAGCCATGGCCAACAGGACCGAGTGACTCTCACTTTGGCCTGTGAGGATTCCTTTTTTCCAGTAGTACATCATGTCCTGGGGTGACTGACAAGTTATGAGACTACAATGACAGTGGACTGGAGCTTTACTGCAAGAGCTACAGTGTGTATTTTAGTGGATGTGCAATCTGATCAGCCCTCGAAAGAAGATTTTTTCCAGAAGAGTTGAATTTCCGCATGTTGTTTTCCAGTGATGAGATAACTGCGGTAACTCAATGGACCTATTTTCCCTACTGTTGCAAAAATAATAATAATAATAATAATCTAATTTACTTATTTAGATAAGCCTTTCAAGTTGCATCAGTTTGATGGTTTGTCTTGACAAAAGAATTAACTGTTAACTGAGGTAGCTTCATGAAATTGGTTTGATATTACATTTTTCTTTGCCTTTAGGTCAGGACTGTAAGTAAATGGTTTACACTTGTACAGCACCTTTCTGCCTGAGTGATGCTCAAAGCGTTTTACAATGTGTTTCTCATTCAGACACAAACTGTTCCAGTGTTGTTTTTAGTTTTTTTTTTTATCCTAAACATTATTTTTTAGAGGGCTGTAGGGTGGCGCAGTTGGTAGTACTATTGCCTTGCAGCAAGAAGGTTGCCGGTTCGCGTCCTGGTGGGGGCATCGGAATCTTTCAGAGTTTGCATGTTCTCTCTGTGCAGCGTGGGTTCTCTCTGGGTTCTCCGGCTTCCTCCCACACAGTCCAAAAACATGTTGAGGTTAATTGGTGATTCTAAATTGTCTGTAGGTGTGAATGTGAGTGTGCTTGGTTGTCTGTCTCTATGTGTGGCCCTGTGATAGACTGGTGACCTGTCCAGAGTGTCCCCTGCCTTCACCCTGAGTCGGCTGGGACAGGCTCCAGCCCCCCCACGACCCAAGTGAAGATTAAGCGGTGTGGAGATAATGGATGGATTATTTTTTAGAGTGTGGAGACCTTTCTATCCACTGATCAGTGGGGTTTATATTCATTAACCTCACATGGCTGGTTTTTACACCATCAGAGTACATTTGATCCAGATTGCATATTCTAAAATATTTGCTTTACGTTGCCTTAATCTGCGAAGATTGATGCACTTGCTGCTTAAACAACAGAATTTGAATACTTGATTTTAGCACATTAAGACTTCAATTTTCTCTTTTCTTGTAACAACACTTAATTGGTACTTTTACTCATTGAAAGTATGGCTGCAGGATTTGGGTAAAGGATCTAATTGCGATAATTCTGATGGAATATTCCGACTTGATTTGTGCTATAGATTTTTTTAAAGTCAAGCTCAAGTTCAATATTCACTGTGGTATAGATTAAAAGCATGTAATGTAGCACTACCAAAAGCCTGACTGTCACAGAAGAATGAATGATTGAATGAAACAATTGTTTAAATCCTGGGTCAAATGTGTTGCAAAATGTTCGAGGTATGGCTGTTAAAAAATGAGACAGGGCTTATGTCAATTGAACCACAGTGTGCAACTCAAACCACACAGTATACACTGATCAATAGGAAACCTTAAACAAAATTAAATACAAATAAATTGCAGTATTTGTCTCATTTAACCTTCTAAACTCCACAGAGCAGAAGTGGGTTAGAATAGCATGTTATCTTTAAAAAATCACCAAAATTACATGATTTATCAGAGACTGAGAAAATGTAAAGATCTTTAGCTTTCTGACAGTCTTTAAGCTAATCATTTGTGACATGTGGCTCCATCAGCAAAATAAACCAAATCAAATTCTAAAATGCTGTCTTTCATCAAAATCATTTCATTCCACATGTCACATTTAAAAATTTCACCCAAAAATCATCAATCTGCATCAACAGGATTCTGTAAAAACTTTAAAATTGGTGCAACCGTAAACTGAGATATGACTCAGCTTGGAGTCATGTAGTAAAAATTCAGGAAATTTAGTGTAGATAGAAGACAAGTATGGGAGCAAATTAAAATTGTGAGTAGCCAAATATCTACAGCATATAGAGCCACCATTTTTTCATTATTGGTAATGCCTGTGTTGAAAAGTGTTAGACAAGCTGATTCCAAGTTTATTTCTTTTTGTATAATATATAACAAAATACATGTGACTGCTGTTTTATGTTTTTCAAATTTATGGCAATTATAACTTTATTATATACCACAGAAGACATAGTTCTCCATACTTCTAGCCATGGTTGTGCTGCATCCATTGCGATACGTTGCAGTGACAAATGAGCCCACGGTGAGTAAAAATGTGACGAGGCAAAGAAAGGCCCAGAAACTGTTTGGTGTTCAGAGGGTTAATAGCCACACAATGTATAGACTAAATTACAGCCTTTACAACAACTTGCTATTTGCATTGTTTCAAGTTGTGACTTTAATTTAAGATTGATTCATGTTCAGCATTAGTAAGTAAAGTTATAATATCTGTAGCCAATAGCCCTTCCAATCACACTGCAATTAAGAGAATCAGGAAATCTATCTTTTACCTTTCCGACAAGTTTGCCCTTCCGATTCATGCAGAGGTAACGCCCACTTTCTGCACCTCTTATCCTCACTCGACTGCCAAAGGTGTCTGTCTCAACAAACAGACGAGCTGTAAGAAAGAAAATAAAAGAGCTGAGGACAAAGTATAAAGACACGGCCACTAAACGCAAATTCATTTTTGGGTGTTTACAGTTTTGAAGTGCTGCATAATGTGCTATAACGCACATGCACTAGCCTTTGTGAATGTCAAATATTTTTGAGACTAGGTTGTGATGAAGAGTAACAGTTTAAACTTTGCTCAGAATGTAAGATGTAAACAACATTTCCGGTCTGTTATTATGCAGTTTGTAATATTTTCCGGCCACTGTGCTCCTGTTTGTATCAGAATTTGCTTTTATTTTCTACTAAATGTGCATTGTTGTTTTTCAGTTCACAGACTGTTGAGCTTAAAGCCCAGACTAACATTTTAACTGTTGAAAGTGAATAAGCTGACCGATTAAACAAATGTTATCACTGACCATTAAAGAGCTGCATCGGAAGCAGACTATACATTCTCAATTGGTTTTATCCTGCAGTTAATTATGTCCTTTGGGCATTACAAAAGCCTTGTGTATTGTGACCACAGAGACAAAGGACTTGTCTTAATCAGCTGCTAATTTGCCAGACGATGTCTTCATGGATACAGTAGGGAGGCTGAATTAACATATAGGCCTGAAAAGACTTCACAGAGGGAGGGACGGAGGGCTGGAGGTGAAACTGCTGCTTGTTACGTCAGTCCCCAGCAGGGGCTCTGTGGCTATGCTGTTAGGACCCACAAAACTGAGGAGTTTTACTTATCTCCTCGAAAAAATTTCCAAACATTTTATTGCCATTTACTACATCTACAAAACTACCAAGTTCTACAAAACTGGGTCAAACCTTAAACACAAATATATGCAGACCGTTGCTTTGAGGCTGAATTACTCTGAGCTTTCTAATGCTGACTAGCCGATGCCTTCTTAAAAACTAGAATATAAATATCAGTCTGAACTAGCCTCAGTCTGTATCTCTTATTTATTCCCAGCACATGCAAGTTACAGAGGACCTAAGAGTCTTTTAAACTCACAATACTCAGACTCCTATAATTATTATGATATAAAAATATTCTGCATGCTACATTTTAAAAACACTTTAAAACAGTTTCCCAGTTTGTTACTGTATTTTCAATGCTTTTTTACTGCAATACATGAAACAGGAACACAACTGCTGGTGTTGGTGCAGACATAATGAACTAGTAATGCAAATACCAGCCCACTAACAGTAGGCTGGTATTTACATTCTGATAAAGAAGGCAGTCCTGCCTCAATTTACCCAATGTGGGCCATTTTCATGAAAAATGCTTTATATTTTGCTTGTGTTGCACTGGAAGAGCAACGTGATACCATTTCCAGTGCCCCATATTAAAAAACACAGTTGTAACATAAAATCTTTCTCATTTGGTCATACAATTTATTTTATTTTATTTTTTCATTTGAGAGTGTTTGAGGTTATTGGAAATGCAGTGAATGTAGAGTTAAGTGTTTTTATAGGACCTTCTGTGACTATACACTATACACATAAAGAAGGAATTCAGGAGCCACCTGAATAAATGCATATTTGCAAGATAATAATTCAAAAAAGAAAAAGCTCTTTTTAATGAGTTGTGGTGATATAGTAACGTTGATAGCTCCAATGGAATATTGTGCGTAATTTCTGCGTTGATAATTGAACTGTGGGTTCATTTATTTCCAAGAGATTCTCGACTGTATCTTTTCAGGATCATTGTGGTGCTTCACTGTTGGAAACACTGAGTCAGATGTGCTACCAGGTCGTGGTCTTACCGTACAAGTTTCCATCCTCGGCGGTGGCGCTGACCCTTTTGCCCTGAATCTGGACGTGCTTCCCGCTGGTGCGGCTGTAGAGCTGGTAAACCCTGACCTGTCTGCGGCTGAGCTGATCCGTCACTGCGCCCTGCGTCCTCACATACTGGTTAAAATTAGGAGACGGGTGATTCTCCCCCTTTTTTATGCAAAGGGAAAAATAAAATACATAATTGTGTCTTTCTAATCTGGGATAAAGAAAAGTAGAGCCAATTTCAGAACCAGGATATATAAATAGGGGCCACCTCTGTATTAACTAAACACATAAAACTAATCGTATCTCACATAGCCAGAACTAAAGTTGATGTTGAAGGGTTTTTTTTTTTAGCCAGCAACGTCTAAATACAACCAATTCCAACGTTAGAAGATGAAGTTGACAAAGTTTTCTCCTTACCTGAGCGTGACACCACAGCACAAACAAATTGAACGATCTGCAGAAGCAACAATAAAATAAATGATTATAAAGAAGTCATTTCATGGCAATCATACAACGAGAGTTTACAGATAAAATCAGTCTCCTTACATGTAAATGCAGCGCTGGTTTATTCCATACATTCTCCTTCTTGGTTCGCCCGATCAATAAAGGGATGTTGGAGGCAGATAAATCCCAGAAGGATGCGGTAAATAAATCCACGGTTCACAGTGTGTTGCATATGCACTCCTGACCTGCCCATCCAAACCAACGCAGGCTCTGATGTGTCCTCGCAGTTATTTCCCCTCACAGTTATCAAAACTCTGATCCAGCTGACTGGGTGGTGAAGAGCTCTCCAACAGATCCGCGCAGCGCATCACAAGCACATACATCCTCTAGAAGCCGCGAGCCTGTAGGTTCGTCATTACATCGCTGGGGTTGGAGTGTGAGGGCTCCAGGATCCGTGCAGTCTGCTGGGGTTAATTTCAGGTTTTGAAAAGCCCACTGTCTCACCGAGATCCGGCTGCTCACTGGTTAAATGTTGAAAGGCGAAAGTCCCTCCCTGAAGTCTTTCTGTTGTGGGTGGGCACAGCAACAGGACCCCTAACGATTATTTAATAAGGAGATGCATACGGGGGGCTAAAACATTCACATTCTTTACAAGGAGCTGAATGAAAAGCAAACATCACAAACTTATTTAGGAATTAAACTGGCAAAGAACAAATGTCTCTCAGTCTGTCCCCCACTCTACCTTTAATGTACATCACTGATGAAGTGTATTTAAAAGTGAGGAGCCTCATGGCACCTTATGGACATGGCAGTGGGGTGTTAAAAAAGCCTTCCAACCCTCCAACATTTACCTTTTATCTGCTGTTAAGTGGTCACACTTCCAGCACATGTAAGCAGAGCCCAAAACACACCATGTGGACAAAAGGCCTGTTTCATCCTCTCATAATAAGCAATCAACGAGCAGAGATGAGCAGGACACAGAAGAGAAGAGGAAAAACAGAAAAGGGAGAAACAATAGAAAAGAAAACCAAAGAAGACAAAAGAAACAAAAAAAAAGAGAAGAAGAGAGAAGTGAAATGAAGACAAGAAAAAGAGACAAAAGAAAAAGGAAAAGGAAAGATTTTTTTTTAAAAAAGAGGAAAGAAATATACAGAAGAGGTGAAGAGAAAGGCGAGGGGAAAAGAAAAGAAAAAAGAAGAAAAGAACAGAAAAGAAAAGAAAAAAAGAGTAGCAAAGAGGCTGATATAACAAAAATGGCTGTGTATTTTGGTAGCTGCTGGGTCCAGATGAGGCGAGGTTTGTGAACAACAGTGTAACATGAAGCTTCAAGTGCCTTCACGTCTTGCCCTTCTCACGTTCTCTTGACCCCACCACCACCGTCACCCCTGTCGAGGGCAATAAAGTAGGAAAATGCAGCAGTTAGGCATCTCTGACATGTTGATCTGCCTTTAACTGGCTGACAGGAGCCAGCAGCTATGATTCCACTTGTTGATGACACGTCTCATTATGTGACGTCAGCTAATCAATCCATCAGTCAGCTCTCATCTAGTGTAACAACAGTCAATATTGTTTCAGTCAGAAGCCTCAACAGACACTTAGTATTGTGACTGATGAGTTAACAACATGATGCAGGGTCCAGCAAGTCTGTGTGTCTCTTTGCATGAGAGGCATCTAACTGGTTATCATTAGCTTTATACCAAAAGATGATCAGCTGGAACATCAGTTGGAACACCTACAGTCACTGTTATGCTAAGGAATGTGACGGGCATGTGTGATACACGCTAACCTGTCCATTAACTCAAATAAACAGACAAAAAAACGGTGAAAAAAATGAATGACCAAACTGACTTATTTGTTAATTGATGTTTACATTGTGTTCCATCAGCATTACTATCAGAGAGGTGTCTGATCTTCCCAAATTCATTCCACAGCAGGATAACGAGCTCCAACATCTAACCAGAGTCATAAAGAAGTATTTTCACCCCAAAGAAGAACAAGGAGTCCTGCAACAGATGGTGTGACCCCAGAGAGGCCTGATCTCCATGCCATCAGTCTGAGATTACATGAAGAGACAGTGGAGGCTGAGACAGGCTGAATCCACAGAAGAACTGTGGATTGGAACAATCTACCTGTCAATTACCTTGAAAACTATGTGCAACTAGAGGCAAAGGATGCTCACACCAAATATTGATCTGGTTTTGCATTGGAAACCATTGTCATGAGGTCTCACTGTCCTCTGCATTGCAAAAGTGTCAACAAGACTGAGTGGCAACAACCCCTATGTATTGTTCTTCACCTTAGACAAGTGAGCTCTTAGACTCAGTCACACTTTATGAGCTGCAGTTAAATTATTTGTTACAAAGTGGCCATTCTGCTCAGCTTGATCACAGCTTTCTGGATGTTTTTATTTGACTGCTAGTAAAGTAGTACTTAGATTATCATCACACATGGACAACATTTTCAGTGTTTAGTAAAAGGTAAATAAACTAGATTGTTTGGACAGTTTGATAAACTGCTGTATAGAGTTAGGCATTTGTTCATTAGTGCATTATTATGTATTATATATCACTTGATGTTTGCTGTTCAGTCTTATATGTGTGTGGCAAATATGGCTTGTGTACCGTGGCTCTCTCTGTCACTGTGGTAGGTGTGTGTGAATGAAACTTTGAGGAACATTAACATAAAAGTAACTTCTGTTTGAATTACAGAATGCCATCACTTTGACAGACTGAGCTGTATACATCCCCTGTCTCATAAGGATTTAACTTGACTTGCATGCTATTTGTAATTAAAAACTAATCACTAAGTGTATTGTGTTTTCTTGCCTTTTCTCTGGTTTTTAACATAGTTTAACATTGTACTGTAGCCACGGCATCGTGGAAAGCTGTAAATCTGCTTAGTCTTTCCTCTGGAGGCAATGCATTTTAACATCAGTTTGTTCCAGTGCAAGCCTGACCATGTTTTTAGTGATTTGAGTAGTGATTTGATCCTTTGTTAGCTTGCTGACAACATCAAAATATTTAAATAAAGCCCCTCACATTGGCTGACACAAAGTCACAATTCAATACTTCTATTATAAACTCCACAGTTTTCACATCTTGCTAAATGTACAGACGTAGCAGTGACAGCATCTTTGGCTTGCAGCTGCAGGAGCTAACAGGCCATTTTTTAATTGATGGTATGGCTGGCTCTTGCAGGAAACACTGTCATCACTGTGGAACTTAGAGATCGGTAGCTATGTTGTGTTGTCAGCAAGATGTTTATGTAATGGGATATAGAAAGATGAAAAAGAGGAGATAGGGCCTCATTAACATAGCTTGTCTAGCTCATCAGCAGTAGTCCTTCTGTGCCTGTCAGACAACTGTGTGATACTTTAATTTTAACTACATGAAAGACCCAAAATGTAGTTTGGAGATGCAATCAAAACAGTGCAGATCAGGTCAAGCCAACAGAAAACAAGACTCTAATCAGACCTGCAGGTCTTACAAAGTGTCAATATCAGAAAAATGAACAATGTGTAACTCCTCAGCATAATTTTCACGCAACCTTACTTTCTCTTTTATTTGTTCTATTTTAGTTCAGAAGTTACTTTTATTTTGTTTCCTTTGTGCAAATTTTACATTAGGTTTGCCAGTTTGTCAGTTTTCTTAGTTTTGTGTGACACTGAGGTTAGGATGAGTTTCTCAGTTCTGTTGCACTTCAGACATCTGTATTTTGAGTTTAGTTCTCTATAGTTGCTTGGTGTTAAAAAAAAAAAATCTGGGAAACAACAACAAATCTTTTCATTTAAAATGATGAACTCTGGGTCTGCAACTTGTTGCCTGACATTCTGTTTACTGTGGGCTGTCTCTGAAAACTCCAAAGGGGTAGGAGAACTAGAAACACACCTAAAATCTATTGTTTTATACTGACCCAAACTTTCATCCTTTTCCAGCTGCTTCATAATGGTGACAGGCTAAAGTCTTGATTATGCTTTCTTGCGGATGCACACGCAGACAGCTGCAGAAACCACAGATACATAGTTCTTGCTATTATACAACTTCAAAGACTTGATAAACTCACAGTACATCAGTGTCTATGTGTTCTGCACATGCACAGTAGAGACAAGCATGACCACTACTACTTTTGTAGTGCAGGTATTTTGGTCTGCATATGGTTGTTAATTGAGGGGTCTGCGTGGACTCTTGCATACTCGGGAAGATGACAAAATTTGAACTCTTGTGTACTTGGAGACGCAGAAATTCAAGTATTGGACTTTTTGTTTTTTGTTTGGACACCAGCAGGCAATTTCAGGCTCAAACTCAAAGGAATGGATTCCACTTACCTGAAAAAAGTACAACCACTTGTGTGACTGTGTACCTTTGACTCATGTGCATAAGAAAACACCATTTTTATCCCCCAACAGCAAGATCACAAAACTTACACAGACCTTGTGGACACATGAACACAGAAACCATGAATTGACCTTTAAAAAATTTGTTTAGATGTCGTATGGCGCTTCCTGGGGATCCAGAGAATTTACTTGACCAGATGAGATAATCAGAATAATCCAGTGTTTTCTAACTGGTCTCTTCTACACAGGCCACAAATTACCCCGCATGTTAGTATCCTGGTCAGATGCTACTTTGGTGCAGATTAGGAAGACAATCAATGTTTATAAATTGTGATGTCTAAGATGTCATTAATCCTACCCACATACCCACATATGAAGTATAGACTTGGTACTTCTGTGCTCTCTTTACCATGATAGTCCTGCATCATACAGTCAAGACTCTTTGATTTGGAGTGGCAACTCCTACCCTTAAGATCATCCAGTCAGTCCATCTGCACAACGAATACTCTAGTCCAGGTCAACATATTTTACTGAAACTACTGGCCACAATATTTGATATACATTTCCCCATTGTCAGTGACAACAAAAGCATTCAGACTTTCTATGGATAGTCTGACCCACAGAAAACTGCATTTCCTGTGACCAACTAATACACAATGGTAGTGGTCAGGTCAAAATTGATGTGAAAAAAAACATCAAACTGAACGGATAAAATTTTTCTGAACACATTCAAGACTCCAAGGAGAACAAATCTTTTAACTTTAGTGATCCAGTCCTTTCCATTTTCATTGTCCTTGTCTA